ACTGCGGATGGAAACTAGCTCAAAGCTAAATCTGGCTCTGTTACGCTTGATACATTTTAATGTTGTAAGTGTTCATCACTGTGCATTGTCCCTGCCAAATAAACGATTAAATAAATAAAATATCCCAACACTGCATGCATATAGTCAGCGGTCACACGGCAGGTAAACAGGATTCTTTATAAGCTAACCCATCTCAAAAACTTGGATAGAATTGAGACAAAACATTACCTGGTATAGAATCGGATGTTGTCGTCGGAGCCAGCAAACCGCTGTAAGCCAAACTCTCGCTGGACTCTTAACTCCTGCAGTTGCTTCTGCAGATCCTCCACTGTTTTGGAGTTGTCTTCTGTAGCTTGAGAGGACATGTCCAGTGAAGCTGGTTCAGGGGTTGAGCAGTAATCATGGTCACGGACATCGATGTGCTCTTCCTGCTCCTCCCGAGAGACTGGTTCAGTGGGCCGCTCCCTTCTCTCCCAAACACTAGCCCGCTGTGTTTGAGCAGTAAAGTGATTCCACTCAAACAGAGTTGGTACAGCACCTTTCACAAGCCTCCTACGGCCATCAAGGGTTTTTGGCTCTATTAGTTGATCCGTAGCGAAGTGACGACTGCAGACCTTGGAGTGAGAGGATATTGTAAAGTTATCGCGCCGTATTTTTACCAGCCACTGTCTTCGCAGCTCGAGTTCGGTTGGAAAGCCATGGAAACTTAGGACGCCGTTGAATTTAGCTGACGCCGTACAAAGTGGGACACAGCAGTGCTCGGAGTAGTTATTCACTTGTTATTCAAATGTTCCGTTTTGAAAATCTTCCGTCGACTCATATTTAAACCATAGATTTAAACAGTAAAACCTTTGTGGACGATCTCCCGCTAAGCTACGCAGACCGGAAGTAAACCGGAAGCAGCCGAGCAGTATTACGGCTAAGGCGGAAGTACGTCTCAGACCCTAGTGCATGTAGCCTATACCACGCATTTTAAACTACATCTAAAACACAACCACCCCATTCCGTTTTCCCAGCTGGTAGCAAACACGGGAGCTGGAGATGGAGAGCCCTCACCTTCCCGACAGTTTACAATCAAAGATGCATTTGCCCTACAATGCAAACATGTTGTTGTTCCTTGCTCGAAAACTTTGAAAAACTGATTTGGATATGGCCTGTTGAGACATCTGGGTCTTTGACAGTGGACTGTACACTTGACTGTTGTTTTAAGGAGGGTTTTTTTTGCTTGTGAGATAATGTGTGCTCATATTTATTTATATATATATATATATATATATATATATTAGGGCTGTCAGTCGATTAAAATATTTAATCGCGATTAATCGCATGATTGTCCATAGTTAATCGCGATTAATCGCAAATTAATCGCACATTTTTTATCTGTTCTAAATGTACCTTAGAGGGATATCTTTCAAGTTTTTAATACTCTTATCAACATATGAGTGGACAAATATGCTTTATATGTTTGTTTATTATCATTTGAACAATGACAAATATTCTCATGAATATTAAACACAACAACCTGAACATTACAAATATTCGCCTCAATTCAACCTGGAACCTCTCTCATACAATAATACTGTGTGTGTGTGTGTGTGTGTGTGTGTGTGTGTGTGTGTGTGTGTGTGTGTGTGTGTGTGTGTGTGTGTGTGTGTGTGTGTGTGTGTGTGTGTGTGTGTGTGTGTGTGTGTGTGCAGCTCAAGGCATATATGCTCCAACGGGAGCTGCCTGGATGCTGCAATCATGTAGCGCGTACTATCCGTGCTGAGTGTGCTGACTTTTCGTACAATGTCCCACTGTCTGGCTGCCTGCATAAAGTCAAGTGCTCGGCGCAGTTGTCGGCGAAATGTCATTGAAACAGCTCCTTATATCCGTTAGCGCAGCTAGCTAGCACCAGATGCTAACAACAACAACACGTAAGGTGTGCCTCGCTCGCGCGAGTCGCGCCACACATACACACCCTCTCCCGGTCCTCCCGATGGCCAGTCCGGGCCTGCCAGTGAGCGTGGAAGTGTGGTCTGCCACAAGCGGGAGGCAGGAGCGGGGCTGTCAGCATCAGCTTGTCGATGGTATTTTACACTCGATGCGCTCTGAAACCACGGGGCGGCCGAGGACAAAAAATACACATGCGTTAATCGCGTTAAAATAATTAGTGGCGTTAATTTTTTTTTGCGTTAACGCGTTATTAACGCGTTAACTTGACAGCCCTAATATATATATATATATAGCCTATATATATATCTATCTATCTATCTATCTATCTATCTATCTCTATATATATATAGATAGATAGATAGATAGATAGATAGATAGATAGATAGAGAGAGAGAGCTCTGTTTTCCAGCCTGACTCTATTTAATTTATTGTTTTGGTTGTGTGTGATTTAATTAATTTATAATTTAATTAATTTGTTTTATTTATTATATATAATTTATATATTTTAATATTATTTCACATTTAATTTGCAATGTTGAATGTTCAATAACAAGTTATGTTTGAAAGGATGTACTTGACTTATTATTATATATTATCATTATGTCAGTGGTCTAAAATGGTCTTACAACGGTGCCGACAATATTATCGTTTATCGCAATAATTTCCAGAAAAATGTATCGTCCAACTAAATTAATTATCGTGACAGGCCTATTTACAATCACATGACCAATCACACATCCTGTTTTACAGACACGTAAATCATCTGATAGATCATTCATATAGATATTAAAAAGGCTTGGTGAGAGGAGCCCCCCCTGGCCAACTCCATTACCAACACCAAATGGCGCAGAGACTGCATTTGATCCGCATGCTCTGGTTGGCATACCAATAAGCCAGGATCCTAATTATACTGTTGGGCACACCCCTTTCTCTCAATTTTAGAAACAGTGTATGATGGTTAACTCTAAAAGCCTTAGAGGCATCAATAAAACCAATCAGAACAGTGGAACTCTGTCTTCTATATGTTTCTACCATTTCCTTCAAAGCAGATGCATAGCTCAGTACCATGCTTAGCCTTGAAGCCAAACTGGTTATCTGAGGTACATAAATAAGAACATAATCTATCCAACAAAATCCTTTCCAGGACTTTGGATAACACACTAGCTAGAGCAATTGGTCTATAATTATCCAAGCTCCCTACCTTGCCCGCTTTGTCCTTAATGACAGGCACCAAGGTAACAGTCAACATGGAGTCCGGCAACACACCATGAGTCATGAGGCCGGTAAAACAAATGGCAAGAAGAACTGCAACCTTCGGGCTTGCCAGTTTAAGGTGCTCTGCAGTGATTCGGTCAGAGCCACTTGCTTTGTTATCAGCTAGCTGTGCCATTGCTCGATAAACCTCATGAGCTGTGATTCCCACTGTGTCACTTTTCACAACATTACCAACCTTGTAGGGGTCACTTTTAACACAATTAAGTATAGTAGAGTAATGTTGCCTCCACAACTCAGCTATGTTATGGGCTCCAGATACTCCCTCTATGGTACACGGTAACAACATACTGGACCTGTTCAGAGCTCTCACCTCCTTCCAGAAGCCAGTCACATCCTTACTGTACGAAGTAGCTTTGGAGCCATAGAATCCGCTCTCAATGTTTCTGTATGTTTGTTGACATAACGAACTGCATATTTATATCTAGCATTTGTAAGCTTTTTGAGATCCAGGACAGGCCCCTCTCTGGGCCTTCCTGCCCGGACCCAGGCCCCAAAAGCATTCTTAGCTTCAGCATATTGATCAGCCACATGTTTATTCCACCCTGGCTTGACGTTGTGTCTCTTCCCACAGTAGGTATATAACGGTCTACTGGCTTCACATACAGCTCCCACAATACAATCATACATGTTACAGAGGTCTTCACGTGAGAGGTTTCATTACAACCCACACCAATACACAGAGTTGCTACTTTGGGTAGATATACATCACTCAGTAGGACATCAGTTATCCCATAGTACAATAGCCTATCCTCATTTGTGAGCTTGGACCAATCCACTTTAGTGTTACAGGCATTTTTAACCTCCTGAGACTATCATAATCTAGTGACATTACAAAAGGAATGTGATCAGACATTGATGCCTCATACACAATCGCAATTGATCTTAAAATGTCATGGGCATTAGCAGTGCTTATGCATATATGTTATAGTTCTCCCACAACTGTTTAAAATGTACTAAAGCTGTACATATGAACTAAATTTCTTCTTTAGCTTTCTTCAGATAGTTTAAATTATTGTAAATTATTCTGCAGGTTCCTTCATTTTGATTGGATAAGAAATGATTTTAAGCGTGCGTGCGCACACACACACACACACACACACACACACACACACACACACACACACACACACACACACACACACACACACACACACACACACACACACACACACACACACACACACACACACACACACACACACACACACACACACACACACACACACACACACACACACACACACACACACACACACACACACACACACACACACCAAAAGTAGAAAAGTATTCTCATCATAATATAGTTAAAGTAGTCATTGAGCAGATTGGTCCATTTCAGAATAATATATGATATGTTTTATAATGATTGATCATCAAGTGTTCTCAAAGCTGGTAAAGGTGCAGCTAGTTTGAATGACTTTGTATACTGCAGGGTAGCTTGTGGATTTACTCCAGGTGGAACTAAAGTCTGATTTAACACTTGATTATATTTCACATCATTCATCCACATCTGTAAAGTAAGGTATTAAATACATGTAGTGGAGTAGAAGTACAAGGTAGCATCAAATGGAGATACTCAAGTAAAGTACAAGTAACCTTAAAGTACGGTAGTAAATGTACTTAGTTACTTTACACCTCTGCACAGAAACATGCAGCCTGTTAGCTGCTAACAGCTAACAGGCTGCATGTGGATGGTAACGTTAGTAAGCATTATACGATTTAACAAAACCCCCACTTAGAAAGTGTATAAGTACATATTATAATAAAAGTAAATATAATAAACCGACCTGTTTCTCTCTTCAGCTCCATGTATGATAATGTAAACAAACAGCTCCTCTCACATCCGGGGATTCTGTCTATAACTGTCCAATCAGCCGCTTTCTGAACAGATGCCTGACATCCTGAAATAAAGATGTTTTCCACAGATCGAGTCAAAGGAGAATAAATAAACGGTGTTTCTTATTTACACTCAGCTAACACATAAGCGCAGCCACACATGCTAACGGGGACCCGATCGCACAACTTCCGGTGCTGGCCTTCACAATAAAACCCGCCGTTCTTTTTTCTCTTCTAACAAATATCGAGTGAACTAAAGTATCTAAGTACATGTACTCAAGCGCAGTGCTTAAGTACAATTTGGATGTACGTGTACTTTACTTGAGTATTTCATGTGCTTCTACTCTACTAAATCGTGTTATTATAAGAGTAGGGTCGCCTATCCCTTTAAGAGAGAGAGCGGGGGTGGGGGGGGCGCGTGCATGTGCTGTGTGCACGTGTAGAGCGAGAGTGGAGTGTGTTGTAACAACGTACATTTCCCCTCTGTGGGACGAATAAAGGGATTTCAGACGCAGGGGAGGGGGAAGGGCGGTTTTGAATGCGGCCACCTTCTTCTTTCCCCGGATTTGAGGAGTCCTCTCATGCATCCTCGTATCCCAGAATGCAATGCGTGCCGAGCTCGTGAGGAATAACTGATAAATGTGAGTATTGTGTTTAATTTACTTTTAAAGGTCACGTAGTATACTGTATTTTAACACAAATATTATAGGTCGCAGATATATAGGCTACAGAGGTCCCTGAAGTGTTTGGCTGAAACACCAAACAGATCATTGTAGCATCCCATAAGTTTCAAGTTTCAAGGCTTTTATTGTCATGTGAGCAGAGAGTGTAGTTACGACAATGACAATCTTAGGTCACAGGCTCCTCCAACAGCGCAACACAATAAAACAGATAAAATAGTATATAATAGAAACAGAATATGATAAAAAAAACTGTGCAGAATAGTCTATACAGTAGGGCTGCTCGATTATGGCAACAATCATAATCTCGATTATTTGGGTCAATAATTGATATCACGATTATTAAATACGATTATTCATTGACTTTGAAAACATCCATTTATTGTACTTTAAAACAAATACAAATAATAATTTGAGCTTTTTAACTGTTGAATTATACGTTCAGGGTAATCAACTGAAAAACCAATACAAAATAAAATAAAATAAATAATATCAAAATAATAAATATCAATAAACAAGATCAACAAACATGTTGCAGTGCACTGTCACAACCTGAAAACTCCTTAACATATAGTCAACATTTTGGTAAAACATATTCAACATATTCCACTCAGTTAAACATTAAAGGCTGGCCCACCGTCATGGTCCAGAAGTAACAGGAAATCAATGTTGAACTACAATTTAAGACCAAATACAAATGTTTTGGCCACTATGGCAAATGCTGTTAGGGCTGCTCATGTCATCTCTTAAAGGTTTTTTGCTAGAAACACCAGCATGTTTACATGGTCTGGTTTCAGAGATGAGCGCAGGCAGGTGACAATACTGCCACCTGTACTGAAGACCCTCTCTTGTGGCTGGGATGCAAGGAACTTGTGGCTGGGATGCAAGGAACTTGTGGCTGGGATGCACAGATACTTCCTTGCCAGGATGGAGAGCCGTGGGTAGTACTTCCGGGATTCCCTCCACCACTTTAATGGGTCCTCCTCAGCATCCAGTGGCCCTGCCTGGAGGTAGGACTGTAGCTCAAGAGCTATGGCCTGGTCCTGTTCCAGAGCAGGTTGAGGTTCTGCAGCTTGGTCTACGGTGGCCTTGAAGAAGCTCCCCAGTCCCTTCTTCTTGTTCTTCTTTGGTGCAGCTGCAGCAGCATCCTCCGTGTCATCTCAAGAGGGGCGCTTGTAGTATTATAAAGAAAATAGGAATGACATCTTTAATCAGACTAAAGGGTTATGGGTATTAACATTTATACCTAGAATTACATTATAACACTTTGACAACACATTCATTCACTTAATTTGACTTATTATTATTATTATTATTATTACCATGACTGTCATCACCCTCCTCATCTCAGTTGTCAGGCTGGCTTCAATGGATCCTCGATTGTCCTCACTGACATATTTGAGCTTGAACCTCGGGTCCAGGGCAGAGGCCATGTCCGGGGTAGACATTAAGGGTAAAATTCCACTAGCCCCATTCGTCCAAAAAATCGACTAATAATGAAGAAAATGAACACATTTGTTGCAATAGTAATTTATGCACAAACTACTTGTACTACAACATTTTAATCATCAATTCTTCCTCATATTCCTCAATTGTTCATATTTGGTTTATTAAAATAATTATATTGTGGTCATTGTTAAAAAATGTCTGCTATTATCATTATTATGAGTATTATTATTTGTATAATGCGCTTTCTGCCTTCCTGTCATCAGGAGTTAGACATGTAATTAGGGGTGTAACGGTTCACAAACATTTCGGTTTGGTACGTACCTCGGTTTCACACGTGTACCGAACCGAAGGGCCCATACCGAATATTTTCGGTACGAATACGTATACCGTTACACCCCTACATGTAATGGCTATGTAATAGCCTAGATTAGAACCTTCATGATCCTAAACTGCTGGGACATTTCCCTATAGCCAATACCTTTATATTTGTTCTACTCTTCACTTTCTTGTCAGCATAGGTCGGCGTTGATGTACAGAGCCGACAAAAGACCTTGTTTATATTGGCATCATATTGAAGCCAACTCCATCGATCAAGCCAGTGTGGCTGAAACTTTCTCTCCCTCTTCTTCTCCTACTCCCTGTCACTCTCCTTTAACTCCTCCGGTGACATTCTTTTATTTGAAGATTGTTTTTTGCCCGGCGCTTGGCCGGTTACCGCTGGTATTAAAAACATTTTGGCGAATGGTTAGGTGGCGAGAAAGTCTGTAGTGAACGAGCGCGCTCCCGCTCACGGGAGCCTGCTCGCACTGCGCTCTGCAGCAAACAGCTGTTTGCTTTTCACCCAACAACGACAACCGCCTCACGAAACGCTATGTTGTAGCGTTAATAAACGAAACAATTTAACAAAATTGCTAGTCAAAATACCAATACCACAGGTTCATTATTTTTTTAAAGCAATATTTTTAGTGGCCCGAGCGGGCAAGTGTAAAGTACGTTATGCTGGCCCGGGGGGTCTAAATAGTGCTTCCTGGCCAGCGGGCCATTTATAATGTCGAGCCCTGCATGTCAAGCAGCTCTTGTGTCGCTGCATCATCTTATTTGTCATTGAGATAGTCTAGTATCTTCTTTTTTATGCTTTTTGTGAGGTCTGTGTCATCCTCCTGCACTGCCAGCAATGAGTTGTTGAAGAGGTGGAGGGTTGGTTTAAAAAAAAATACACACTAATGGCGCATTTCCACTGCAGGGCCTCGCACGGCTTAGTACGGTATAGTTAGGCCTTGGTAGGCCAGGCCCAATTTTCATTACAGTTGTGGTCTTACCTTGACTTGAAGATGAAGTCCATGCTATCCTTCTGGACAACAATCTCTATTACTGTTTTGTAAAAGTCCTCCTTATCTTCCTCTAGTTTCAAAAGTCTAGTTTGTTGTTTGCGTCTCCCGTCTCTGCGTAGAATAACAGTAGCAACAAGAACCTGTGGGCTCACGTGCGCCCCCTTCAGTGCGGCAGAGGTTATGGCTGGAATCATACATAAATCACATTTACAACACAGATCAGTGGAGACATTTTATTATTATTTAGTTTTTTTCCGTTACATTGGAGTATGACAGGTGAGGCTCTGCCTCCCCTGACTGCACGTCGCTGGTACATACAACAATACATTGAAAGATATGTTTTTATGTTGTTTATTGAATAAAAAAGGCATGTCAGTAAAGCATGTCCGGCCCTTAATGTGATTCCAATTTCCCAGAGTGGCCCTTTGTGAAAATGAGTTTGACACCCCTGAGCTAGATGAACTCAGAAGTCGGATTGCTTTTCAGCGGTACATTAAGAACTGTAACGTGTTAATTCTCACTGAGACTTGGCTCAACTCTACTATCCCGGACTCCGCATGTTCCTGACGGATTCACTATTTGTATTTGTTTTTAAATTGCAAGCAAATAATAATGTAAGTCTTTGATCGATTTTGCATTTGAACTTTCATCAGCAACTGCAATAAAAAAAACAGACAAGATGGCAGTGAAATGTGTAAACAATCAGCCCATCAAGATATACGCATATTAATTTATACTATTGTTGAAATGTTTTTGCTACCCTTTCTTTGTGTCTTATTCACATTCTGTAGAAGAACAATCTGAGACACCTGAACAGTGTGAGCCTGCACCCTGGACACCCCAATAATCCCCCTTCAAAGAGCGAGCCGCATGGGAAGGTATATATTATTTCCATAGTGGAGCCTTTTTATTTTTGCTCCTCAGTCTCATATTGGTGTCTACCTTTTATGTATAGGCTACTGGACACATTTTATGTTTGGGATTTTTGTCAGATTCACTTGCAAGGGGAGATTCCAGTGCGTCCAGAGGTCTGGGCAAAAATAAAAAACAACACAAGGGACTCCATGTTCGTGAAGGAGTTGGCTGTGGCGTTTTGGGGCATCGAAACCTTAGGGGAAAGGAGCCTGACTGGAAAGGAATATATGGAAGCGATCGTATACTTAGTTCGTGTACTTGGTTCTTGGTATGTGGCTTTTTATCACAGCAAGGAGGCAAACTTTGTTTCAGAAAAGGCTGAGTATAGCAAGACGAAATACAGAAGAAAAAAACAGGAGAGTTTTGGCAATCCTACAATGCAGCACAGACGACTCTGATCACTACAAAACGACAATGCTACTTGGTAAGCTAACTAACTAACTAACTAAACTAGCTAAACTAGCAATGTGTTTATGGTCACGGTCACGATACGGCCAAAGTGTTTAATTAATTTTAGCTAACACTCTTACGTATTAAAATATGTATGCTTTTGTTTGTGTATTTCAGAAGTTGTACCATTTGCAAAGTCGCCGCCGCAGACCATGTGTTTGGACGTTCGCTCGAGTGGTGGGGTGTGATTATTCCATCTTTCACACACACTCAGTTGGTGCAGAACTTCAGGACGTCTGAGGAAACCTACGTCTACCTGTGCAACAAACTGCGGCCAGCGATGGAGAGACAGGACACACCACAAGCTGCAGAGGAGGAGGGCACGGACATACGAGAGGGTCTGATGCGCTACTTGAATAGCTGAATATTCATTGTACTGATTGTAAATTGTATTGAACATAAATACATATTTTTTACTCTTTCACATATACATGTGTTTGTCAAATGAATAATTTTTTTAAAACGTTATCAGAATTGACTATTTAGTGAATATTTGAATTTCAAGCACTCCTTCAGGACTGTGAAGTGCTCCTCTCCTCGTTTCCTCTAGCCTAGATGACACAAATATAAGATAATTCAGGTGTTATAGCAGCAACAGCAATAAGAATGAAAAACACAGGACAGGTACAGGTTACACAAGGATATAATAATACAAATATATATGTATAAACAGAACAACAGTAAGGATGAACTAAAGACAGTTCTGGCCCTAGATGTTTACAATGATTGTGAAAGTGAATTACATTATGTGCAGCCTGTTGATAATGAATATAAATATATGTATACACATGTGGCAGCGGGGTGTGGTTAGGGCGCCGGCTGCTGGAGTGATGGGAGTGGCTCGGCCGGAGACCAGACAGCTGACCAGAATCAGGTAATCAGTCACTGAATAAAAGCATGTGTTAACCTGGTTCTGGTCTCTCTTGCAGTAGGCTGGGTCCTGGCAGGACGTCCGAGCCGCATGAACAGCACCGTTAGGACGACACCACACCGTGTCTGTGTTCCTCTGAGCAGGTTGTTCTTTGGTAGCTAATAAAAAACATTGAGCTGTTCACCTGTCTCCCTCTCCTTCTGTCCCTGTGTAACCTGGGAGTGAGCGGAGGTGCTCACAGTGGCACCTGAACAGGGACACATGACAGAAGGAGAAAACCCCACAAGCCCGCTGCCTGGGGCTGGCTCTCGAGCGTCTCGCAGCTATACAGGAGAGCACCACCACCAGGGGCGCCGCCAGGGATTTTGGGGTCGACAAACTCCTGGGTCGGCTAGGCACTGCTCGCTTTTACACAACACTGGATTCAACCAAGGGCTATTGGCAGATTCCCCTTTCTCCAGAGTCTAAGGAAAAAACGGCCTTCTCAACTCTGTATGGTTTGTACCAGTCAAACTTTTGGGTTGTTCGGAGCTCCAGCCACCTTCCAGCGGCTCATGGACCGGGTTCTGCGTCCCCACTCTGCATATGCTGCTGCTTACTTGGATGATGTCATCATTCACAGTGAGACGTGGGAGCAGCATATGCAGCAGGTGGGGGCAGTGCTCGAGTCCCTGAGGCAGGCAGGGCTCGCGGAAAACCCGAAGAAGTGTGTGGTTGGACGGAGGGAGGTACGGTATCTGGGGTGCCACTTGGGCGGCGGGCAGGTGCGGCCACAAATAGAAATGACGGCCGCCATTTCCGCCTGTCTGGTCCCCAAGATGAAAAAATAAGTCAGGAGGTTCATGGGGCTGGCCGGCTACTACAGGCGGTTCATCCCGGCCTTTTCTGAGCTGACCAGTCCCCTGACCGACCTGACCCGAATGAGTGCTTCAGATCCGGTCCAGTGGACGGAGCGGTGTCAGCTGGCGTTTGAGAGGGTTAAGAAAGCCCTCCGTGGAAAGCCACTCTTATACACTCCTAACTTTTCTCTCCCTTTTGTTTTGCAGACCAACGCCTCGAACCGTGGGGTGGGGGCCGTTTTGTCCCAGCAAGTAGAGGGGGTCGACCGCCCCGTACTGTACATTAGCCGGAAGTTGGCGCAGCGTGAGGTGAACTACACTGTTGTTCTTTGGTAGCTAATAAAAAACCCTGAACTGTTCACCTGTCTCCTTCTGTCCCTTTGTAACCTGGGAGTGAGCGGAGGTGCTCACAATATGTATGTGTTTGTACAAATATACAGTCAGGAAGTAAATGGATGATTAAAAATGAATATAAGTATGAATAAATATGAGACCAGTTTAAAGAAAAAAAATCTAAAACAAAGCAGAGTCCAAAATAAGTTTCCCCGGGGACTCTTTACGGTGACGGACCTTGGGACCGGAGACGGGAGAACAGGTGGAGGTGAGTGTTATGATAACTACTACAGGGATGAGACCGAGATCTACGGCCCCAGAGATCACCTCCTTTTCACTTACTCCTTTTACTTTTGGTACGTTACTTTATTTGTAACAGAGCATTTCCACACAGTGGTATGAAAATAGCAACAACAACTCTAGAAAACTGAACGTAAACAATGGCACATATGGTGTTAGCAAACAATAGCTCTAGCTAATGCTATTTGCACTAACCGTAGCTCTTCGGGGCTCCATAACAGCATGGGTTGTCGAACATAAATGTAATGATAAAATAGGCTTGTTTGTAGAAGTGAGCTTTACAATAGATAGGGACACAACGCTTTCAAGCAAAGAACAGAGCGTTAGCAAAGACTTTCCATCCTGCATGGACTCCAGCCGTGTGCGGCCGACAGTGTAGAGACGTCCTGGTACACTTTCTCGTTTCGTGTTGTGCCGTCGAGCTCCCGCTGTATTTTTTTTATCTGCAACGAGATGGAGGAACGTCTGTACCTCGTCAAACGACCACGGCAAGTTTTGTTTTGCCATTTCTTATTAAAAATACTTGCTAATGGTAGCTCGTCTGTTTTTAAAAATGGTGCTTATGCGACGCTTGGGGACTATCTCGCGCAACAATTGTGACGATTCTCTCTGACCAATCAGCTGTCGGGAGTGTTTTACGTCACTAGTTTAGCATATTTTCAGCTCGCTTGGAACCTCGACTGAGGTGGTCCTAAAAAAGTACCTGTGAGCCGGACCCTGTAGTGGAAAAGCGCCTTTTTCATTTGTATTAAAGCCAGACTATTTAAAAAAAACACAAACGGTCTGATTTTATCATTGCACAACATGTGTGAATAAACTCAATTTGTGATTGTTATAGCAGTAATATTAAACACTCATAGTTTAAAAATAATACAGCAAACAATTAACAATGTAAAAGTTTGCCCGTGGTGAGATGACGAGGCTCCGTTAAAAATAAACCTCTTTTAGTGAATTACTGAGTTCAGGCAAATTAATAACGTTTTAATGAAGTTGAGTACAGGATATTCATATTTGTTAGTGCTTTCATGTCAATTCGGCGAACATATGATACATTAAATGATCGTGAGGATGATGATTGAAAATCATTAGTGTGAGCCGGGCTGCATTTCCTGACGTAGAATGGGATGAAAAACCGATTATTTTTGTAGTTGTAGCATTTTATGTCAGGGTATTTAAGTGCGGACCCAAAAGCAGTAAAAACATGGGAGGCAGCCAGGTATGGGAATTTGAAGGTAACACAAAGCGAGCTTTTATTAATCTGATACAAAAAAATACAAGAAACCGGCAGGAATAGGCGAGGAGAAAGAAATCCAGTTTTTCACTCTGACCTGTTGCTGCTATAAATGCCTGAATTTCCCGAAAGGGATAAATAAAGTTCCATCTTATCTTATCTTATCTGTCTAATCCAGTGGCGAGCCGTGACTTCTATACCTAGGCCCTCTGTAAAGCCCACCCATTCGTTCAGTTACTATAGCTGGCCCTCTGTGAATTTACAGCAGGACCACCAATCAGCTCCGATCTTCACAGTAACTCGCAGAGACGAGCTTCTTTCATTTAACCCTTCACATTCAAACAGAAACTGAATAGGCAGATTTGAAGGATTTATTTCTTTGGAAATGTTATTTTAAATACAATTTAAATTAAGTTATTTTGGTAAAACTAATTAAAAATATAACAAAAAATATAACAAAAAAAACATTTTAAAAATAGGCTACATATATATTTTTTAATGCTTTTAAATATTATTTTGTAGAATATCTTAGAGGGCCCTGACGGCTCGCCACTGGTCTAATCTAGAAAACGGAAAATGTGTGTTTGATTGTAAAAGTTGTGTTATATTATTTACAGGGAATTTTGCAAAAACCAAGCAACTTGGAACAAATCTATTAAGAATGTCACTTTTAAATTGGAATAACTTTTTCATTTGTATATATTTTGTGACTGCCTTTTATCTAAAAGTGTTTTATTTTTAGTCTCTATCTTATAATAGCAGGGTGATGCAGAGTGGGGTCGCCTATCCCTTTAAGAGAGAGATGGAGGTGTGGCGCGTGCATGTGGCGTGTGCATGTGTAGAGCGAGAGTGAGCGAGCGTAGTGTGTGTCCGGAAGAGAGCGGGAGTAGCAGCAGTGATCAGTCTGTCTCCAGTTAGCTGTGTAACAAAGTCCTGAGGAAACACAGCGGCCTCCCAAGGAACAGCCTGCCTGTCTGCCTCATTTCAGAGTGGGTTATTGAAGCCGAAGCCTGGTGCTTCAGTCCGGGAAGACTGCAGAGAGTCCTCCCCTGTATTCCTCCACTACGGTCTGGGAGCAGCATCTATCTCCACTGTTGCTGTAACCATGTTAATGTCCCTCTGTGGGACCAATAAAGGACTTCTGATTCTGCGGACAGACAGAAGAGAGGGGGGAGGGACGGGTAGGAATGCGGCCTTCTTCTTTTCCCGAAGAGTCCTCTTCCTCGCAGTCCACCATATCCCAGGATGCAATGCGCGCCGGTGACGAGGAAACAAAGAAAATGTCGGTCCGGTCTCAGAGAGAAAGCAACACGTCAGGAGTAACTGATACATGTGAGTTTTGGGTTGAATTTACTTTAATAACTGATAAATGTGAGTATTGGGTGTTTTGTTCTCGTACTGTATTTACAATCAATACTCCAGACTACGAGGTGCTATATTCAACGTCTATTGTTATACCCAGACGGAGACATTCATGTGTGGTAGGAAGGTGAACTTCACTCAACTCTCTGGCTGCGCAGCATACTGTGTCCACGTCACGTCACGTGGGCCAATCATAAACAAGCATTATTAACCAGTGCTATCCACATATTCAGTCGGAATATTACATTGGGTTTAACTTACTTTAATAACTAACGTCAAACCCAGGGGCATTAACATGTTGCATTAAAATAATACGGATAAACACGTGACGTTAGTGAAGTTGCACGTGCTGCCGTTTACTATTTTATATTGAAATCAACTCGGAAGCTTCCTAATGTCAGACAGAGATCTCGACTCTGTTATGGATAACTTATA